TCAAAATTGCATACAATATTACATAGATAGTATACTTAGTAGGGAATACATAGGTATATTGTTTAATGTTTTGACAAAATATACTCGTGAAGTTATTTAGGTATTTGGCACTAATCATAGATGCTAATTAATGAGTAAGTTATGTTTGCATAATCGATACATAATTATATGGACGGTTTATAAAATAATTAAAAATATATTTTATTTCGATAATATTATAAGTACTGACCATATATAACCTGTGGTACAGACTAAACTAAACGACGAAAAGACCTTGTCCAAAAGAGGCGAACTTGCCGCGAATTCTGACGTGATTTAAGGTGACACTAATCCTTACCAACGAGTAATGTATAACGAATCGCGTCTAACAGACACAGTTCTGGACAGGGTCAAAGTCTAGTAGTATCTTAAGCATACCAATATAAATAAATTAACTAAGGGACCTACTACAAGCACATTAGCGGCAAAATTAAATTTAGTTTTTCAAGAAGGTGGAAACAGAAATTTGAAGTTGTGGTATTTTTGAAGTCTATGTATCCTATATTAAAGAAACATGTTGATTATAACGGTGCCAATTCTATTGTACCTACTACCACTGTTTAAAGAAGAATGTTAACTATCCATTCAAGCGTTGGCCTGTCAAATGCATTTCCTTTCTGTTTCTTTATATATGAAAGAAAGTACCGTAGCGACATCTAGTTTGATTTTGGGAACTAATGATTTTTTAAAGTACTTCCTCATTAATGAGGGCGACAGGTCAGCAATTTCTTTAGCAAATGATGGGCATTACTGGTTCTTACTCATGACCAAGTTTGTTTATTTTTATTCCAAATCTTCCCTGACAATGACATCATTTAAAAATGCTGCTGGTGGAACGATGTTGTTTTGGTATTGTGCTCTTCCTAGATTATTGACATACCATGGGCACAACAGCTAAGAGTTCGTCGTCTCACCAAGCAACTCTAGCAATATTCTACAGGGCCAACGTGTCGCGACTTAATTATTCCTCTCACTAAGGCATTTTAACCGCTTCCCCTAAGATTTGTACCTCTTCACACAGGGGAACCTACATGCTCACCATAATACGACCTAGCTAGACGTAATTGATATATTCCCAAGGCAAATAATAAGTTCCCCAAATCAAATTAGCTGTCATACTAATTAAACAAGGATGTACTTCTAACTCATTTACATATCTTAAAAGATTATTTTTGAAGGGCGTCCTCTCTCTCATAAATCATGACATTTAAGATTTGCTTAGAATTAACCCTATTATTTCAATAATTTGGTCTACTCAAGATTTGGCAGTATGGTCATAATCAAAATTTTCGTTTTGATCATCTACATTTTTAAATGTATTTATTCTTTAACCACTCTTTCATAAAAAGAGAGTATTTATAAAAAAATTAAATCACTAAAAAAGCACCTCCACTAGATGGCGACTCTAGCAAAAGTTGATTTTTGCAGGAAACGAATGGACCAAAAACAGTCATTAAAAAACTGAAATTTAATTTAAAATATCAATACAAATACGAAAAAGTACAAATAGAATATGATTTTAATATTCTATTGAGTTTTGAAAACTAATTTACTTTTAAACATGAAAGAAAATCGGAAAGGTTGTCATGGAGAAATCAAGAACGTACCGTGGCGACATTTAGTTATAGATGCTTTTTAGTGCTTTCTTTTTTTTCTTAAAATATTTCCTCATTGCTACTATTATTACACAGTACCTACGCGGTGTCTTAAGAATATGCCTTTAACGTAATGTGCATGTAATAAGTTTCTTAAGAATGAATAAATTCATGATTTGGGTAAGTTTACGTTCTATTTATCAAAGTTATTTATCGTTTATAATTTAGCAGAAACACAATATTTAAAATATTAATGGTGTCTTTATTATCTTACAAATAAAGCAAATTTTTGCAACAACTTATTATTAAAATAACTATTTACCTATATGTCTCACAATCACATATTTAACATAGTTTTTGTTCAGAAAGTTCTTTTATAAAATTTATGTATATTTGCATAAGCAAAATACTTAAATGATCTATGATGAATACTTAAATGGCTTAGATGTGTCATCTGTTAATTTTCTTTGTCTTAATTAATAATAGATAGACAAATAAAAATTATCCAATATTAAAAAAGGTGAAATCACATAGATATATATGCCTATGTCGGTTCGATTCTCACTTTGGTAACTCAGCTTCGTAAAAGCGATAGCTATAAGTATATATTTTAAATAAATATAATTTAATAATAAGTCTAATTTTCACGTATTGACGTATTTTAATGTATTACTTAATATATTTCAAAGGTTCATTTTAATTTAGTGACCATTGATTGATCCACAGTAACAGGTCAGGTTATATCGAAATCGACGCTTAAGAACCAAGACTATCTATCTAGACTTTTGGCGATTTTGACTTTTTAATGCGGTTTTTTTCATGGTTAATTTACGCATCGTTTCCTTTAATCGATTACTTCAAATTCGCAATAAATAAGTTGTTATAAGGAAATACCTATACCACCTAAGTTACGTGGTGTATTCATTGTATGGAAATATCTATAGAAAACACGTAATTTTTTAGAGTGCAACTAATTAGCCCCACGCCAAGAAGCCCCGAGAGCACAGAAGAATGTGATATGTTTCTCGCCTTCCTGGTGGCGTTCAGCGGCGCGAAATAAACTACCAGCAACGAATATGTTTGTTCTATTAAATTTAAGTCTGGCTATTTTTTATGTACTAATTACTAATAATTTAGTTATTAAAATATGTGCTACCAAAGGATTGTCATCCGTTTTACGATTCGTTACACACCACACATTTAATTTTGCCTAAATGAGAAAAATGATTTTTTTTTGGTTTTAAAATTCAATAAAACTAAGACTTTTTGTTTGATTTAAGTTTTTAATCTATATTATTTCGTTTGCCTATACCATCTATATTACAGTTAGCTGCATAAACATACGCAAATATTTTAACTGTCTAATACTTACCAGCTATCTACAGTAAGTTTGAAACTAATTAAGATTTCTTGAAATACATGTAAACACCTTATTTTCCATGCCTATCCATTAAATGATCAGATTTAAAAATAAAGAAACTTATATGAAACGTTTCTTCGTCTCTTGTAAAATCGACTTTTTGCAGATAGATGGTCTTGGTTCTTAGGCGTCGAATTATGAAAATTCATTTTCCACCGAAGTAGGTATTGAATAAAGTCTGGTTAAAGACTAACGAATTATTTGTTGCATTAATTATTCAAGGCTTATAGGAATTCGTACCTCAAAAAGAGAAAATGGAATCATTATACGATTTTGTTTCCGTCCGTCCGTCTGTCTGTTTGTCCAGATCCTTATTTTCAGAAACGCGTGGAGATATCGAGTTGAAATCAAAAATATAAGTAGGTATTCAGGCCTACAGCCCCTTGTAGAAAATACATACACAATAATACACTCCCAAAGAAATCAAAATTGATAAGGTACTTTTGTTGACCCAGTAAGTACTATAGAATTTGTAAGTACTTTAAGTATTATCGTTTTATAGTAGTACAACTTCTGAAAACTATACATTTGTTATTAAATCTTAAGATTTAAATCTAGTGGACGAATTACGTTTTTGTCGTGTTTCTTGTCTTTACATCGACGACAATAATAATAAAATGAAATATTTAATTTTAAAACTCAGTGGCCTTTACTATGTATTGGGTTCTTTTATTTCGATCTACCTAAATATATCTCTACCAGCTGCATAATATAAAAACAGATGATTATATAAAATAGAATATAAACATATCAATTCATTAAAATTTAAATATTATGTTATAGCCATCGCTTTTGATATAAAATGGGTATTGATGCTTATATCATTTCACCCGAGCTGTCTCTTATTCATCCCTTATTAGGATGATATGGCAGCAACACTGGTAGCGTAAATTATATTACAACCCAACTACCTCTCATTTGCAGATTTTTCTAAAGCTGAATTTGCATTACGAAATTAGTTTCATTACATTAATTTTTCAAGTAGTATCATGTGTAAATGTCCTCTTTCATAGTGCATGCGTTATTTTCACGAGACTAAAGTATTTTCGTGTCTTACGCATGTTGTTGATGAAAATAATGTCACACAACTAATTTCATCACGATTTAAATAGCAAAACTAGTGATGAACAATAATAAAGCTTGATGATGATGGTGCCAGTCTTTCAAAGACTGCTGACTGTGCGTCATTACGAAATATTTTACATGAACCGAAATTAGTTTCATAAAATTTGTTTTTAGTTTCGTAATAAAAATTCGGCTTAATAAATGACACGCGAGTAAATCCGTATTATCTAATTCGGTAACCAGTTTCCATCTCAACAGGCATTTATTTTGGTGGCTAGTATTACCGTTTCACGGACTATGCTATGGAAGCAGTTCTCCCTTATCTCTAACACTCGTAATCTATAGTCGAGAGAAGTAATTACTCGAGATATTTTTAATCCAATAGACGAGTATTTGATGAAATGAGAACTATTAATAGTTAATAATCATAGTATTCTTATTATTAACAGTTCTCTCAACATATTCTCTCAAGTGATTACTTTTATCCGACTATAGTACGGGTGTACGTGTATTTCAAAACTTTGTAACAACTTTCATATTAGTTGATTATGTATGATCTCACTCATAGGACATTCATTAACAATAATTATAATAAAACACTAAGTACCTGTTATCTCGAAGGTACCATAATCACATTTTAAAACAGACGAGTATCAACTCAGTTTCTTAGATTGATTCCTACATCCAACCAAACCCATATTGGTATGTAAGGTATATTAACATGACTAATTTTATGTTACTTACCTATTTCAACATTATTTTACAAGATACTTTAAGTTATATTATATTAAGGTAAATTACAACAGTAAATAGAAGTGTCTTTTGTTGGTAACTATTCGACTTAAATCAAAACAACCGTGAATAAATATCTAATATGCACCCTAACCAATAAAAGCGTGTAAACAATCGTCTTTTATTGTACACTTTCTCAATAACTGTAGGCCGGTTTGCGTGAACTCAGCCGGACCACAGATGCAAACAAAATGCGTACACTGTTCACCACATTTTTGAACATCTTTGCCTATAATTTTGTTGAGGAGGTCAATGCGTATACGACCTTTGTAGCCAGTCCAATTCGTTTTCGCGTCCGATAAAACGTGTGTCACTACAAACCTGAAATGAAGAGTGATATTTTAATATTTATCTTACGAAAAATTGAAAAAAAAACAAGCATAGAAGTTAAAATTCGTTGAGATATACATATTATTCTCACATCTAAATAAGTTTCTCTAATGTTTAGTACCTATTTGTAGTCTTATATATGTATAAAAAAATCTATGTAGAGAGATGTACGTACATATAACTCTTAGATATACATATCGTATCATATATAGTCAAAAAAGTATCGGGACTTGATTTATGGTTCCAAATTCAAAATTTTGTTTGTTTTTTATTGTTGTAAGATTGGCACAACTGTTTTCCATATTGGCGCGGAGTTTTAGTTGCATCTGTTATTTATTATTAAATACACTGCTTTTTTTGTGCTAGTGCGTATTAAAACCTCGAACAAAGCGTTTGTCTTAAATTTTGCATCGTCAATGGGAATTCCGTATTCGGAGTCACTGAAAATATTACAGAAGGCTTACAGTGAATCGACTTTATCAAAAAATGGTGCTTATACGTGGTGCAAAGCGTTCAAAAGCGGTCGAGATGTGATGGAAGATTTGCCTCGCTCTGGTAGGCCATTAACGTCTGCAACTGAAGTTATTAACATCGCAAAAGTGAAATAAAAGTAATTGAAAATCCTCATTTGACTTTGAGAGATAGCCGCCGAACTTTATGTATCTTACGAGTCGATGCGTACCATTTTAATTAATCATTTGGGTATAAAACATGTTGCCGCTCGGCTAGTCCCAAAAGGCCTGAATTTTCTCCAAAAACTCAATCGCTTGAGAGTCGCTGAGGACATGCTAGAACAAGTCAATTCAGACTCAACATTCATGAAACGCATTGTTACTGGTGACGAGACGTGGTCAACGAGCTTCGGAGTGGCGTCTTCCAACTGAAGCGAAACCGAAAAAAAAACGCCAAAGTCGTTCAAAAGTCAAAGTTTTCTGTGACTGTAGCGGTGTTGTGCACTCGATATTCTTGCCGGAATGTCAAACAGTAAATAAGGAATATCATTTGAGCGTATGTGGCGTTTAAGATTGCAAATTCTACAAAAGGGCCTGATTTGTGGAAAGAAAATTCTTGGAAATACTATCACGATAATGCGCCTTCACACAAGGCCATCATTGTGATGGATTTTTGACCAAACACTCAACAAATATCATCGAGCAACTACCATATTCACTAGATATGGCTTCAGCCGACTTCCTTCTTTTTCCTAAATCCAAATTACTTACCATTTCGTGACAACCGTTTTCAATCGGTAGAAGACATAAAAGAGAATTCGCGGCAAGAATTGAACTAAATTCCGGAAACAGCTTTTAAACAATGTTTTGATGATTGGATTATTCGATGGCGTAAGAATATCGTTTCTGAAGGAGCGTATTTTGAAGGTGATATAATAGATTTAGATGAATAATAAACAGTTTGTGTATTATTGATCTTTTCCCGGTACTTTCTTGACAGAGCAGTATGTAGTCATTACAATAGACAAATCATGCTAATTTACCTGCTATCTTCTTTGGATATTTCATCGAATTTGTCTTTAAATAAGATGTCATCTTCAGTTTTATTGAAGAAAATTAGGTGCGCTTTCTCACTGTAATATATCAAATAATAACATAGGAACATAAATAATAATAACAGATAAAGCTGAACTATGGGTCGGTAGAGACTGCTCTACCTATAGGATATGATATCTTAGCGATATTTCATTTCATTTTGCTACTTTACCATTATTTTAAAACGAAGGAATTATAAAGATTGATAATTAATATAGATCTGACACCAGTATTACCAATTTATCCCAAAAGACATCTCAAAGTAGTAAAATGAAACTAAATTTAGCCATAACATCGCTATGGCTAGAGTTACGACTAGAGAGTTAGGCGATCGCATCCCTGGAGTGGCGATGAATAGTATTCTATCTCAAGTACATCTACATTTAAAGCACATGCGATAAATTTCTAATATATAGATAACGATATAAAATGGGACGTAAAGCTAAAACTCAATGGCGATGGATGGCGAATTAGCGGCAAAATGGATTGTAAATAATTACTCGTAAACTATTACGTTTAGCCTAAAAGATGAGCACAATTAATTCAATAAAGTGACTCACATATGTACAAAAAAGATTCATATTTGCGAGAATTTCAGGGCAATCTTGTGTTTATTTTTTTTTTTACATAAAAAAGATTCTTGGAAATATGACGTAGTCGTTATTTCTTTCTACTGGTTTTGTGCTCTCTTAGGACTTCTTAAAATTGTACATTATCCGAATGAAATTTTTATATTACATAAAGTCTTTTTGGTTTGAAACTTACAGCAATTTCCAGTTTGCATTACAATAGAAAAGCTCGTTTGTAATGCAAACTGGAAATTGCTGTAAGTTGCTTAACTTGCTTTATGTATGTGTATAAATTAAACAATATTAATATGAATACATCAAGCGTATGAGGGATAGAAAGGGTCAGCCGTCTGGGTTTAATCTATGCATAGAGTTGATTACGATATCTGTGGAGATTATTAATTTTGAGTAAAACAATACTGAGCTAAAAGCTAATTTACGAAGCGAGGTTTTAATGAGATGTAAGAAGGTAAGTAAAGGTTTTAGCATTGATTAAATAAACGTAAATTTTGATATAAAAGAATCATCATCAACGTACCATCGAAGGATAGACCTTGAAAGCATAAATTTCAATAATCCTAACATCGGAGTAATGCCGGTACCCGCTGCTATGAAGAAAATTCTTTTTACTGCTTTCAACTGCGAACAAGGATATCATAAGAAATAAGTGGGTATAATGCTATACCTTCCATGAATTTTTCGTGTAATATTTTCAGCGAAGAGCGAATTTGTTGTAGGTATCTTTTACATACCGTTAAGTTTTATTTTTGTTTCAAAGATACTTGTCTCGTTTTGTTATTAAAAAATTAATCGCAAATTGATAACTAATAGATTTAAGATGAGCATGACCTTTTAGTCGTCATTATTATTATAAACTATATGTGAAATATAAAGAGGTTGCAACTTTCAGTTTGTTTATATCAGGGATTCCCAAACTATTTTGGGCAAAAGACTCCTTTCCACAAACGAATTGATACCATAGAAAATAAAAGTTTATAAAAGCTATCCGTATTTTTCTGTTTAGATAAAAAATTCAAGGTAACTGATTTAAAAACTTTGCGATTGGTCAAGTGACGAAACTTGACATAATTTTCTCATTAAATATTTTATAAAATAAAAGAGGTAGATATGCTTACATAAACTATATAGTAGGTATCTGAAAGTTTGAAATAAGAGCTTCGACCCCAAACCCCTTGGATACCGATTACGATCTTAAGGGGTCGATATCTACCACTTTGGGAATTTCTGGTCTGAAAATTGCCTATCTCTTCATAGTTATCAATATAACTATGAAGAGTTAGGCTATGAATATTTTGTTTTATAATTTATAGATAATACATAACTTTGGTGGATAAAATTAGCAAGGAATATGTATAGCTACACAAATTAAAAAAATATGTTTGTTGACATTTAAGATTTTAGTTTATTCATAATATAATGTATGCTTTAAGAAAGTTATGGATATTTATTATACATACCTACATTACAAAATTACGATGTTTTACAGCCAGCTTCTGATAGGACCGTATTGGATTAAATTGTTTGCATAATAAAAATATACTTAATGTAACAATATTTGAAATTTTGTACATAGTATACAGTTTCTACATATCGTTATTTTAAAGACATTAACATTTAAAAAAAACTCACCTTCTGTAATTGGAAACTCCCATATGGACCTGATAGAGTAAGTCTGTTTCCAACTTTCAGTGTAGTGAGCTGCGGACTGAGAGAGCCCGTCACATACTTTTTAACTGCTAGACTGAGAGTCGATGAATCCTCTGATGGACCCCATCCTTCACCGACTGGGGTATATGATCGGATACATTCGGAACCTAGAATCGATAAATATTAGCTTGTAACATAATTATTTGGCAATAATTATTTATCTGCTCGACAATAATGGATAAGGAAGAAATGTTTTCAAGTGATTCCTAATCTTTTTATGGTAGCTGGTTTTGCCCACCATCTAAAACCTTCAACGGCGGACGACAAACTTCTCCTGAAAGCACGTTTTAAAACATGTACCTGATTGAGACGTTTTTATTATAAACTAACTTTCGACAGCGGCATCGCCCGCGTGGATCCTAGGGAAATGTTAAGTGGGATAAAAAGTATCCTATTATCTAAGTCAGCTAATGTTGTATCTGTATACCAAATTTCATCAAAATGCGTTCATTAGTTTTGGTGTGATTGACCGACAAACATCCAAACATCTAAACATCCAAACAAAATAACTTTCACATTTATAATATTAATAGGATTTGGTTTTATTATTAGATTCTTTGTTACATTTACAAATTGTTTTGTCAAAACCTATATACCTATATACAAGAGTTAAATATACCTAGGTTAGAAACTACTGTTCTATACAAACTGGTATAGGTAAGTACAGCCTAGAGTTAAATTTACCGATTGCTATTTGCAAGAATATTATTCTGGCACGAAGAGACGTTTGCATTTTTCTACTTTATATCGTTTAATAAGTAAATGACTGTACATTTACCACATGCACGAACCACTCGACCACGGAGTTCGTTGGTTGGTAGGTAAAATCATTCTTCCTAATACATCGGTTTTAGGGGTAACAATCACGAAAATGTGGTTTAGGTAGCATTTAGATTGGAATGTATTACCTGCAATTTTCATATGCACGCGAATATGATGGCCTAAGGGTACGACCACAGGTCCGGAGCGGGGCGTGACCGCGAGCATGACTGTGTCATGTGTGACTACATTACTGGAGACTACGCGACATTCTACTGTCCTCGGTGAAGAGACTCGCGACGCCGTACCAAGTGTGACCTCACCACAATGTTTCCATACTGCTGAATCGACTTTCTGTGCTATTATCTGTACCAATCATATGAATTCCATTGATAGAAACAATAAAAATATCATAAAACACTTAAACCTAAAATATAGAAAATGTCAATTGCGTATAAATAAAATTAGCAAATTGTAGTATCAAGTCATTGTCAAAATTTTATATGTAACTTGGAGGATAGAGCATTTTCAATTTGGTGAGCGTATTCAGCAACAAATAAGACTAGTATTGGCAGAGTTCAAACAAACTTCGTTTTAAAGTCATATTAAAATTGGTTACATCGTACTTCTCCGATCTTTGGAAGGTATTTTAAGCCATTGGTCTCAGTTGTATCTATAGTCAACACCCGTTTATCCGCAGGGGATATGAGTAGAGGATTATGGAGCCATTCCCTTTGTGTTTCATTCATAGGAGAGGTCTGTCCCCAACAATGGGGAATTAATAGGATAATATGATTATATCATGACACTTTCTACTTTTTGGCTATTGCTGCGTCGCGGAATTAAACATGTTAAAAAAAAGAATGGTTTATTTAGAACATAGCTACAATAAGAAATTATTTAGAATCTAGAGAAGACGCGATTCTGATTAAATAAAAGTAGAAAAATGTGTGAACACATTTTTCTACTATTATTTAATAGTAGAAAGTAGATTATATAATAGTAGAAAAATGTGTGAACACATTTTTCTACTATTATTTAATATAGTTAAACACATTTTGTAAGCTCTATTTATTCATGTAACAATATAAAACTCAAAACGCATTACAAACAGAATCGCGTCTTCTCTAGATTCTAAATAATTTCTTATTGTAGCTATGTTCTAAATAAGTCATTCTTTTTTTAATATGTTTAATTCCGCGACGCAGCAATAGCCAAAAAGTAGAAACTTAATTTTAACTGCTTAATTTTGACCGCAATTTTGTCCGCCTTATCTATAATGAGGAACTTTTATACAAAGTTTCATATGCAATTTTAACACTTCAACCCCTTTCTTCGCGATAAAAGATATTTCTTTTCCAGAGGTCAATTCTATCTCTGTACCTTTTTATTAAAAATCGATACAGTGGTTAGGAGTAACAAACAAACAGCGTTATTTTCGCAATTATAATATTAGTCTATATTCTGTGATATTAGTAAGGTTGACACGTAACATAGGTATTACATGTTTAACCTTACGTAAGAATTTATATTTAAAGTTGGTTTTATAATTTTATATTAGTAGGTATTACATTACTTTGACGATTATTAAAACTCTAACGAAGGTTTAATGAATATTTACGTCAATTTTTCCACTTTCGGCATACACACGTAATTGTAAAGGGTCTTGTAATTTCGCTTCGGGCACCAACTTGAGTGTTCTGAGCCAGCCGTTTGTCGCCACTTCAATTAGTAGAACGCCTTCAGTAATCCGTGCACACCCTCCTGGGTTCGCGAGGGCTCCCGTATACACCGATATAGTGAGTTTTGTAGTGGTTTGTATCCAGTCGTATCGCAGAGGTGGTATATCAGCTTTTTCAGCATTTTTTGTCGGACTAGCAGCCGCTCTCCGGCTTATTGATACAGGCAAGTCGCTGGACTGTATCAAACTTTGCATAATTTTACTCGGAGGGCTACATTTAACGTTCTCCTCACTTTTTGAGGTAATCTTTTTTCTCACTGGAGTTATGCAATTTGCTAAATTTTCCATGGACTTCCTAACTAGCTCTTGGGCTTTTGATGGCTCTTTTAGTCGGTCAGATTTCAGGGAATGGGATGAGGTGTCGAACAGTTCTTCCGGATCAGGCAGGTCGAACCGTAGAGGTCCAACAAGACATTTTGCTAAAAGTGAATCATAATTCACCCACGGATGTACTTTATCAAATAATTGTGTCGCATCTATACCCGCTCCTTTCATTAGTTCTTCGGGACCTAGATAAACAGGGAATAGTTGAGAACGATTTTACTTCGAATAAACCGGGAATAACATTCAGTAATAGTTCGTACCTCCAGGGTGATAAGGTAAATAATGTGTGATGTTGTATACCCTTCCTCGAATTGCTAACCATGCGTCATCTGCAACAAATATTTATTTATTTGCAACATACTACTATCATTACAATTATCTATATATTTATAACTCAAAGGTGACTGACTGACATAGTGATCCATCAACGCACAGCCCAAACCACTGGACGGATCGGGCTGTTTGGCATGCAGGTAGATGTTATGACGTAGGCATCCGTTAAGAAAGAATTTTGATCAATTCTACCCCCAAGGGGATAAAATAGGGGATGAAACTTCATTTCAGGTATTTTACGCTGCTCAAAGTAACTTTACCACGCGGGCAAAATCTAGTTATCATATAAATGGACATTATTCCTTCAAGGCACAATATTTATCATTCTGTAACTCGAAAGGAAAAAACTCAACCCTTATAGGATCATCATTCTGTCAGTCTATCTGTCTTTCAAGATGCCTTATTTCGATAACACCTGGAGACACCGCGTTGAAATAAAAAGAAAAATACTGAGATCTATAGTCCTTTGAAAGGTATAAAAAAATTAAATCTCTAAATTAACATGAAAAATGATACGGTTAGGTACATATGCCGCAAAAAACGCATATTTCTCAAGGGAACCGAATTTGATAGAATACTTCCCGTTGACCTAAAACCATAGTTTTTTAAACCATTCGCCAAATTTAACCATAGTTTAAATCTGAAAACTTTACATCTGTAATTGAATTATAAAAAAGTACAGATACTAAAATATGGATATTAATTAATAATGTATTATCTCACTCTGTGTATTGTGATTAGCTAGTTCCTGTGGAGAAACGGGTCGCAAACGTCCGCCTACACCGGTCAAATCCTTGCCAGAGTTGCCGAACCGAATCCAATCCATAAGACTGTGACCGGGCTGGAGTGCACATTTATTGCGGGGATTGCCTGTAACAAACAAAGACAAAATTATTACATTTATAATATAATTTACATTAGCAATACAAATTTGACATTTATTTGAGTTTAAAGGCATCATTGAACCTTATTGGACGTTTATGAATCTGACCGATATTGGGTACATATTACCTATTTTCGCAAATCGATTATGCAATTTCTTATCTACATGTCATACTTCAAATTTCAACGCATAGAAAAAAAAGTAAAAGGTAAAGGAAAAACTATGAAAGAAGCTTTTGAAAATGGTTTGTTTTTATTTTAAATGTTTATGCATAGATATTTTAGGTAATCGTTAAACGGAATCTTATTCTAGTTTTATTATAAGAATATTAGTCGATACTTGGAACTATGATTTGGGAAAGGCATTTCTTTCATCATATATACTGGATCCAATAAAAGTATTCTAATATTGTATTTCGCTGAATACACAAGTATGTATTTTGGTAAGCAGGAAAGTGCCCTATTTATGGAATAGATATTCTGATATTCCATTGAAATGTCAAACATTTATTGGCCAAGACTTTCGTGACGTTGAAGGAGGTATTATCATGAAGATCCAACCCATTGGATTTCGAAAATATAAATAAAAACCAAGCTTTTGCCTATTGATTTAAATATTACACAGTTTTACCAACTCTACATCAAATAAATATTACATAACATACATTACTCAGAACCCACACTAAGTAGCTAAAATACTTGTAATGTAAAACAACAAAAGTAACACAACACTCAGACCCAGAAACAAAATAGAATAGTTAACTTTCCACAATGATCCAACCAAGAATCCAACCTGGGTCCGTAGAGATGTCGATACCAATCTATTTAAAGCAAGACAGCTAAAAAATAGAAAATATTTTGCCACGTTTTGTGTAGACATTAACTATTATGTGAAAGTATCATACATCATTACTGAAAACACTACTTGGCACTTCATAATTTTATGCTTGATATCTTGAATAATGTTTTGTCTTGCTTGATGTGATCCTTAAATTTAATATTAATTTTGAAGCTGTTTTCTTGAAGTAAGTATATAGTGGGAAGTATACAATAACACTACACATAAGAGAACTAACCAAATACCTTCTGTGATTAAAAAACTTTATGTGCTAAGTATTGGGTTCTTTCGTGGGTTATAGTATAGCTAAGAAAATATATAGGTACGTATATATAGGTACGTAAAGTTTTTTATTTAAATTATTTAAAGTTATTTACAGTAAAACTACATTGAGTTTCGAAAATGACGATAATTTCTATGAATCATTTTAAAAGTGATAAAATTTTCTGTAGTGTTTCTACAAATCGATTTGAAATAACAAAATGCCCTAATATACCTTAATTTAGGACATTTACTTTAAATACCTACTACGTAAAGTTCGAACGTTCTTTTTGCGGTATTTTAACTATATTGATATATGTTAGATACCAATTCGATTTGTACACATTAATAACCTGTAATTTATCACAAAATTAGAGATGTTGGGATATCTTAACCTTAGCGCTCTGTATCACTGTCGTGTAGACAATTATGTTATGTGGGTGTAAACAATGTAGAAAGCCAAGAATGCCCTTAAGGATTGGATCGATATATCAAGCTAAGCCAACTTTAGATGAAGACCTTCGAAGTTCTTTACTCTAACGCCAATCAAATGCGGACTTTAATTAATTTCCCTTTTCATAGACGAACGGGTTTGCGTTATTCACACTAATTTAACTTAATACGACTTCCAGAGTAATCAAATGATTTGCTGTTCTTAAATTTGGTTAGCCAAAAAATCTACCGTAATCATGTGGACATATATAAAAATGTTGCTTGCATTACCTACATTAAATTTAGAAATAATTTCAATGTTATGAAATAAATAACAATTTACCGATTAATTACTTTACTACAAAGAAAAAATCATAAACAGGTACATAATATGTTTTGAAAGGACAATGTCCAAATTAGCCTATGAACCTCTAAGAATATCTTGTATATCATAATTCTTATCATATTTTATGATTAATATATCAGCTTTTAAAATGCCCATTTTTGTAATTACTTTAAAAAGTAATATCAATACATTTGATAAACTTCAATAAACGCTGCCACCATATTTTAATAAGTTGACAAATCAGGATCTATGCACAATTTGATGTATAATCAACTAATGAACACTTAAAGCGCTTGACATTAAAACGAGACTCAAAACGTTCGTAGATTTTTAAGCGGCTGGAAGCGCTCTTTTACATACGTTTGACAATTTTGAACTTTTGAAGTTTTGTTTGACAATCGCTTTCATACTCGCGTTGTGTTTACGTCGCTTACATCGTTTGTTTGTACGATTTCTTGTGTCTTGTGAATATTAGTTGTAAAATAACGACTTGGCTTGAACTAAAGACTGATTTCGTCTTATAATATCGACCTCCGGCAGTGATTTACGGCATACCGACCTACTATAGACGATGACTTGGCATTTATTAAACGGACATTAACATGGAATCTGGGTGTGTTGAAGTATTTTGTGTTAATTGCGGTTCAGCTTCTGGTTGCATGGTATTAGAAGATGAGCAGATCCTTCAGTGTATACAACACTGGGTTGCTCCAAGATTGGTAAGTACATGCTCCCGATACAGAACCTACAGAACCTTTTAAAGCAAACAACAACAATCAACATTTAAAGCAAAGTAGACATACATTTTCCTACAAAAAGCAAGTAAAACAAACATTAAAAAGAATCTAACCGCACGCTACAATTGTTAAATTATAACCTCAAATCCAAAATATATTTTTTGATTTATACATTTCTTAGAAGTGTCCGTTACTTAAACATGTATTTAGACGTAAATATAGATACTTTAGAACACGAAAAGTGAGAGTATATGCTTAGAGGTTCTTAGGCGAAAAATGTATGGGGGCTGGACATTGTCCTTTGAAACATTTAATTTTTTCATCGAGGAAGTACTTATATAATTTTACAGAGAGGTTTGAGATAAAAAAAATGCCGTATTATCATAGTCACCGTTGTCACCGTTGGTTTAAGATCACTACCGTATGACCTGGCTTTAAAATATTGTGGATGTTCCATTATCACATTAAACCTAAAATAGGGGTGAGACGAGATACTAGGTATTGTTACGCTGAATTACACAACGGAATTATTACTATGACATTGTTAGCCATTACTGACATGGTGACTAGACTCAAAGTGACTGGGATTCTGTAACAAAGTGTTTGGTAAATATCCGACACACGTTCGAGGAAATATCGGTTGCAATTGCTGAAAATGGGCTACTGAAAGCATCTTTGTATAAGATAAGCCCAATTGGAATCACTCACCCGTGGAATATTAATGAGCCTGCCCGAGCGTCTAATTATACATTATTCATTTATCTTCAGAGGGTGCGCTACTACAGGTATCAAAGATAAAAGAAGACTCGTGACGAAGCTATTCCTTGTCTACGTGACGCTATTCTGCTCGGTTGATTATCAAACAAACTGTATTCAATTATCAATTTATTGAAATCATACCTTTGCATGATAAATATACATTGACTGTTATAAACACGAATATATAACATTAAGTAACTAGATACACGAGAGCATAATTTAGCGTAAGCATGTTTCAGTTGTTTTTGCCATGACATCTGCTACCACAATCCAGAATGTTGGATATACCTTATAACGTGCTTACAGTGTCGCCGTTATTTGAAGATTTATATGGTATATGCATGTCATATATGTATATAGATATTTAATAAATGTTAAGATATTTTTGTACACAACCTAAATAGATTACCATAATTTGGGAAACTACGTTTGCAACTGAGAAAATAAGATTTCACAGATTAAATAGTTTTAATCTGTGGAATCTAATTTTATTATTTATTTAAATAATTAATGGAAACATCTGTTTGAAAAATATTGTCATTGAATCTAATAAATAATCCAAAATATAAAACCTTTGTTACTTAAAATATAAATATAGGTAAAAAATGCAATATAACAATTAAAAATTATAAAGTTTTTCAATTTTATTACCCAGACATAAAGCATTCGAGACAAAAGCTTTTATTATAATTTTTCAAGGATAATAGTCGAACCTTCTTTAGACGACGGTGATGACTTGTTATTTATAACAAGTTCACAATACGTTACAAGTACCGTGAAAGTAAAATACACGAAATTTACTACTTACCCAATATTAGTGTCAAAATTTTAATTTTGAGAGGTATTAGTGTCCCCATGTCATTGAATTTAATAGATAGGGTTGTTATAAAATATGAATTTTATTTGGTATACCAAACCATAGCGAGCTTCTGTTTTGTTTGAATGGACAGAATAAGATCTAGTAGCTACGGTACCGCAGCCGCAACCGTTTGAGAATGTGTATAGAAATTTCAATTGTAATACTAACGTTTCAAAACTTTCTTAATTATATTAAATGTGTGATAGTAGATAGTGCTAACGGTGCTCACTTAACTCACTTTGAAACCAAATTATAAATATCATACTAACAGGTGCAAGTTTAAAGCAAAGCAAAACCGCGTGCGAAGTAGGAGTTGAAAAACTCAATTAGTTTTGACGATTCATTGCCAAATTTTCGTTTTCGTATGGTATTTATTAACTGTACTTCGTGTGTTCACAAGTTTTCGAGACGAAATAAAAGTTGTGTAACTTTTTTAATAATAAACTTCTATTTCTAAAATTTTCAGTAAACATTAAATAGAAGACCCTGTCTTCTATTTAATGTTCTTTATATATTTTTATTTAATAATCTTTATCTTTGATACCTGTAGACCCATAAATAGAAAACCCTGTCAGTCATCTGCCCACCAGTCACAACTGTTTACTCAGGTACCTGTTATTGATGACTGCTCCCCATCACAATTTTCCCAACGTCACAGAATAAATTCACAAAATTATAAAAATAATATTTTAATGTTCAGTGATGAAATTGGCAGAAACATGGGCCGTTTGCTATTCGATAAGGGCCATTCAACAT